GTCAAATTGACACAATAGTATCCAGAGCACTTGGTATGCTTGGGTTTATGAAAAGAAACACATCAGACTTTACAAGTATTAATGCTATCAGGTTATTGTACTGTAGTCTTGTTAGGCTTCTGCTAGAATATTGCTCTTCAGTCTGGAACCTCCAGTTTACTTGTCACATTCATATATTAGAACAGGTTCAAAGAAAATTTCTTCGCTACCTAGCATTTAAATCAAATATTCCACGGATAAATGACTATTCCTATGATTTTGCGACACTACAAGAGACATTATTATTACCAACTTTAAGAATAAGAACAGATCAGGCAGATCTGAAATTATTTTTTAAGCTCATTAATTATATGGTGGACTGCCCTACATTGATTTCAAGCATGTTGTTGGCAGCCCCAACTAGAAGCACAAGATCAATAAACAGTTTTCATCAGCCCTACATGAGAACTAATACTGGCCTCAATTCATTCATGCCTAGAGTTTCATAAAGCACTAATGCTTGTGCTGATAGTCTAGAATTTTTTAATTCAAGCTTTTCTAATTTTGTGAGGGTGTTAAAACTTACTGTGACTTAATTTCCCTAGTCTTAATATTAGTTGTTTCGATTTTGTGCATGTTAATATATTTATGATTTTTGTTATTAATTTATCATTATTATGATATATTATTTAGATTGACTCTATTTGAGTTTTTTTAGGCAATTCAAAGTCCTGTCAGAATGAACAAAAATTGCCGTTCCTTGGCAAAAACAACAAACTTTGTTACCTGCCGTTTTCATTATAGACCAGAGCATACTGGCGCATTCGTTTGCAAAATTGTTTTAATTCGTAATTTTTTGTAAAATGTCCGGAAGGCTTTCCTGATTATAAAAGTGTAAGATGACACTCGATATCTGTTGATGTTATTGTTTAAACAACGAAAAATTAATCAAGCCAGAAAAAATTCATTTTTTGCAATGAATTAATTTTTTTTATATTCTTTAGGATATTTCGAATAAAAAAAGTCCTTACGCCCATCATCGTATCTTTAACTAGTTAATTGTTATTGTGGCGGTCTGCCGTCTCAAGAGCCCACTGTTTGTGAAAGACTCTATAAAATGCGCTGGTTGAAAAGGAAGTTAAAATACTGGGTGCAAATGAACAATTTTATTATATCCAAAAAAAAATCAATGTCAATCATTCCCCCGTTCTGACAAGTTGTCAAATCCAACTAAACGCATAATACAGGGTATAGACAAAAATACTTAACATTAAAAATAAAATAAATAATTAAATCAACAGTTATGAATGTTTTAAAATCCGAAATTGACGAAAATTCTAATTTTCTTGAATTAAATAATATACCTTAAAATGCTTTAATTTTAAATTTTTTACCGAATATTCAAACTATAATAAACAAAATAACCTAAATAAATTTTCAAAATTTTGTTTGTTATGTTTTTTTTTACGTTATAACAATATGCTTCCTACGCGCGTGTACTTTTAAAGAGAAGTACTTCTATCTCACTTCCAACTCAATGTATAAGATGGGTAAGAGAAAGCCCGATGACGCGCTAAATCAATTTTTTTTGCTGTTTTTCAGCGGTAATAAATTTAAAAAAATTATTAACATTTTTCATAACACTTTGTTATATTTGCCGATTAATAGTTTTGTATCATGTGATTTTTTTACTTTTTTAGATACTTTCGATAACTTTTTTATTCATTGAAGTTAATAGAAATGTTCCATCCACAAAAAAAAAATCATTGCCAAGAGCTGTCTAAGAAATAAATTTTTCTCACTTTTTTTCCAGAAGATAAAAGACAAACATACCTGCCGCAATTCAAGGGAAATTTCTACCTGTTACGATGAGCATAGTTGACTCACCTGGTTTTTATTTTAAAACAGAGTACGCAATATATATGTATTCAATTTTTTCTATGGTTGTTAATTCTTTTCCACTATGATTATTTAATAGTAATATTCATTTATTAACCCTCGGTCACCCACGTTCAATTTCAAAACAAGAGTACCCGCGTGGTGTCTGTGAGACGCCATACAATTAAGTCATAAGAATATAATGAAAATATAAGCTAAAGGTTGTATTTAAATAATTTACATATTACTCATATATATTTTAATGTTTTAGTTCAAATTCGCAAACAAAAATGTTTTTCTTACAGCAGTTAAATAAATATGTAATAAATATAACATCATTTATATTTTCAACTATATGAACAAAATAAATTAAATTTATAAAATACACAGATAACTTCTTAACATAAATAGAATAAATATAACGAATATAAAAAAATACAAAACACGATAATATATATTTCATTTAAAATTACATGACTGGCATATATATTCTGTATGCCCGAGGCATATAGAATTATTGCATTGCTTCAACTTGTATTTTTTCATACGATTTTGTTTTCTACCTCACATATCTAGTACGTGTATTTAAGAAGGTACATGTAAGGAGAAGTTAGCATCTCACTATTTTAAAAAGTTATGTGCATTGTTAATATGAGTGGCGTCTGTCAGACGCCACGCGGGTATCGGAGGGTTAAGAAAAATTTTACATAAAATTATAGTTTGTACATCTAACTACTTTTTACATGAAATTGATTTTGGCAACATTCAATTAAACATCCGCATAATGCCACACATGTCATGTTTAGTTTTTGACACGAACAAGCTTATGTTGCACAATTTTTTTTACAGAGAGCACGGTTTTGCTAAGTCTTCAGGTAATGGCGGTTTTGTTAAATACAGTGGCTTTATTTGGTTATCACAGAAAACAACCAAAACCAGAGAAATCTAAAGATCACGACAAGTGCATTTGGCCTTTTTATCGTATTAAAAAAAAAAAAAAAGGTTGAAGAAGATTTTACTTCTCAGGCAGTATCTGACAATAATTTTTTCATGAATAAAAATAAATGTTAAAAATAAATGTTAAAAATAAATGTCTTTTGCAAGCAGCTGGATCGAATTTGTCGTTTGTGATAACCTTGTCATTAAATGGATGAATCCCTGCTTTCTTAAACCCATTAACTCTTAAATTTCGGTTAGACTCGTTTGGGTTAGACTTGTTTAAGTAATGCCGAAAAGGACTTTTTAATAATTTTTTTCCGGGATTCATTCATTGCCATTTGACTAATTTTACGTCCCATGAGCATTTCAATTATTTGAAGACAGCTACATCAAGGGGTTGCAGAATATGGCTGGAATGCGGGGGTAGTTTTAATACGACATTTTCTTTTATTTCTGCCTCAATTATCTCTATGCCAACGTGTGTAGAATAGCCATCGTAAATTATTGACATGGGGCGTCGTTCACCAAATGTTTTAAATATTATTCTTGTAACATAGTTTTTGAAAACTGGTATTTTCATCCACCCCTTTTTACTTTGATCTGATTCTGGAGCCGTCCATTCATCATATACATATTTGCATTTAAACACTATTGAAGGCACTGCTTTTTGTCCCGTAGCGCTGGCAGCACATAGAACGGTTGTATTTTCCCTACCTGAGCCACTGGTGGTTCGGGTAGAGAGCACTCCAATTGCTCCCGATACTTTGGTTTTTGAGGGATCTGTACAAAAACTCGTTTCGTCTAGGTTCCATATATGCTCTGGTTTATCCATAATCCCCAATTCTAAAAGAATGCCTTGAATAATTTCAAAATAATCATAGATAATGAATGGGTCCATACATCTTCGACAGGCAATTTCGACACTGTGCTTTTTTTAGAGAAATATGGTGTCCCTGTTTAAATGCAATAAACCAGTCCGGTTCTGGAATTCCATTATTAAATCTTGTTTTCAAACCATTTCGTTTCACGTATTCACCAATACCTTCAATCACTTCTAAACGAGATAGTCCGAATTCCCATTTCTCTATGACTCTTAAACACTCTGCTATGTTTTCTTCATTTTCAAAACTTATACCTGTAGTTTTTCCTAAACTTTTACTCTTTACCCCTCTTCTTTCTGCAAAATGATCAGTCAATGTCGATCTTGGAATTTGATAGACAATACTGGCTCTTTTTATACTAATTGTCTTACATTTAATATGTTTTAACGCAGTTATTAAATTTTCTTTGGTATAAGTAGTGGTTCTTTTTTATTTTCTTTTATATTTTCTCACCATTTTTAAATTTTTGAAACCTAAAATATAAAATTTTCATTAAGTTACATTGTTTGCTACAAACGGGGTAAGTGCGTATTGTAAGTGACGCACTTTCCCTTGCAGTAAAAAATTTTGGGGTAAGTGCGACACCATCTTTAACTTTTAGAAAATAAATTAATAAATATATTTTTCATGCTGCACAGTATCCAAACAATTTATATAAACAACTGACAAAATATTAATATTTATTTCAAATAATAAAAAGAGAAAAAAAAATTAAAAAATTCCTTACTAACTCGCTCGACGAGATCTCACAAACAGGTTATGTTCTGGTACTCACTGATAGCAGACCTTGAGAAGCGGTGTTGCCATTTAACTAGGGTGACTTCAGTGAACTATAATTTACAATTTTTGACAAAGATGGCGTACCTATGTCTAACAGGAATAAATATTTAACGTGGTGATGCTTTTACCCCGAAAACGATCTTACCCCAACTTACCTTATTTATATACTCCACCCTGTAAGAGTAATGATAAGTTGTTGAATTTAAAACATTACAATTTGACTTAACTTGTTTCAATAATATATTACCTAATACAAAATTTCCATGGTATTAAGTTGAAATAATTTTTTTTTGTAATACCACTTTTCATTTATTTAGCTGTTTCTACTACAAAAAAATTGATGGTTTAATACACATGGACGTAAAATTTGGTATTTCCGAGGAGAAAAATAAGGTAGTATTTTTTGGAGTATCAAGAAGGGTTGTTCAAAATTTCGTGAAAATCTGCTTCGATCGGGCGTCGCCGTATATTATTATCGAAAACCGTTATATTCATCTTTCAATAAAGCTATACCCGTTAGAGTAAAATTTAATTTTCCTTCAGGTTTTTATGGTTAATGGGCCTGTCGTTGACCGTTTCGATTCAAAATAAAATGCGAGCTCTCGTGCCAAAGAGACTTATGGTATTCCAAGTCATCAGACGTTCTCTGATATTGATACTTCTTGGTATCATTATAAACTCGAATAAAAATTTATCGACCATAGCGGAACTAAGAATACCCGGAGTGCTTCAAAGAATTGGACTGGTTTACCTCGTCGTCGGCATATTGGAGGTTATTTTTACAAAACGAACTGATATTGAGGTAGGTGAAGTATAAACGGGTGTTTGAAATTCAGCTTGATCCAATTCTCGCTCCTTTCGGCTAAAAACGTCAGCAATCGGCCAAACCAACCCAACCCAATCTCTTCCAGTGAACTCCATAATTGAAAACGCATTAGTAGAGGGGAAAAGAGGTAGGGTCAGAGCCGGAGCCATATTTTGTGGGGCTTGCAGTCAAGGTCATTTTGTATGGTTTTAATTATTTCCTTGGTCAGAGACTGGTTTAGCCTTAAGATGCATGGGAATGGCTTGGAGACCTCGATATGTCTTTGTTAAACATCTGTCTAGACATTAGGTAGAAACCAAGTTAGCTGGTAACCTCTGAACTTCAGCTTGTTTTAATAATATTCAGACTGGTTTAACCTTAAGACGCAAGGGGATGGATTAGCGACTTCAATATACTTTTAATAACCTTAAGACACCTATCTAGACATTAGGTAGGAAACGGGTAAAGTAGAGCCAAGTATATTTATTATTAGGGAAGGTAGTAAAAGCAGATATTTATAAATAATCTAGTTTCATTACATGTTCATAATAATTCAAATCAAACCAGCCATAGAGTGCATCATAAAGATTTTTATCTTTTTCATGTATTTTGATAACAAGATGTGGTAGTTCTTCATAGCTTTTCACCTTTGAGTAAACATTTATTGTTGAAAATTTATTCAGTTCGTTTCTAGAAATAGAAATAACCAGTACAGTTGTTAAGTATCTACAAAATCTCCATCAACTTTGATATATGCATACATTCCCATTTTTATAACGGATGACTTAAAAATTGCTTTTATGTAAACACCTCGGTGTGGGTTAGCAGTTGACTGCGAGATGTCTCCAAGCCATTCCCATGCGTCTTAAGGCTAAACCAGTCTCTGACCAAGGAAATAATTAAAACCAGCTTGAGTCTATCATCATACAAAATGACCTTGACCCACACAATATGGCTCCGGCTCTGAGCGTACCCCTTTTCCCCTCTAATCACATTGTAATTTCTTGTATTATTGATAACCTCGACATTATCAACAAATGGGGATTCAAAAAAAAAAACGGAATTGCATCAAGTTGATTTCAATCTATCTTTAAACATTTTTCCTGCAATTCTTAATTTATAAAATTTTGTAGATGGTATCTTGGGCGTACGATGTAACGTCCGCCTGGCCCCAATGGTTGATCATGTCTAGTTTAATTGTGATTCACACTTCCGTGACCTTTGTTGCCGACGTTCCCGGCTGTGGTAAAGGATATTTAGGTCCTGGCGGACTCGAAGAGGGAAGAATTTTCTATAATTGCACGGGCGGAGTTGCTGGTTATATCGATAGAGCAATATTTGGTCGACACATGTATAGAGACTACGCATTAGAGAAGGTTTACGAGATCACCGTTAAGATTGATCCAGAAGGTACGTGTCGATGGTTAATAAGTTTTTTATATTGAAAGATTTTGATCTAAATATCTTTTGAAACTATGTTTCTTCTTATACACACATTTTAATGTTAACAATGCTTATAGGTATATTGGGAACAGTAACGGCAATTTTGACAGCTTATTTTGGCGTTCAAGCTGGGAGGACTCTAAACACGTATCAATGTGTAAAAGCCAAAGTCGTCAGATGGACCATTTGGGGTATCTTTATTGTACGTACAAAATGATAATTTGCGTTTTTATGACATTTTTGAACTATATATATATATATATTATTTTAGGGTCTCATTGGTACTTCTTTATGCTCATTTTCAAGAAACGATGGTCCGATTCCGATAAACAAGAAATTATGGTCACTTTCTTACACACTAGTCACCAGCGGTATGGCTTTCATAATCCAGGCGTACTTGTACCTTTTCGTGGACATATTAAAGAAATGGGGCGGTCGACCTTTGTTCTATCCGGGCATGAACGCCATATTTTTATATGTCGGACACGTGCTGTTCGCCGATACTTTCCCGTTCGGCTGGAAACCGACGGTTCAAACGCACGGTACTTATTTATTCATGAACCTGTGGGGCACCTTCTTGTGGGTGTCCATTTCGATTTGGCTTTACAAGCATAACATATTTTTCAAAATCTAATGAAAAAAATTACTTGTGATATTAAAATAATCCTTAGAGATATGTTGTTGATGATAAATTTATATTTATCGTTTTTCTTTTATTTTTGTGTGTAGCATAATTGACTGATCTGAGTTTATTTAGGCGGTAAGTTCCTTTATTTGTTTTGTGAAACGGTCGTTTATGTCTGCTTAAAAAAATAAAGGTGGAACATATATTGAGAATGAAGTTAACTGCAAACAACTTAGTTCCATTTTTCGTGAAGTCACTTAGATTGCGATTGTGTGGGTTCAATTACGATTTTTTAGATCAATATCTTTGAATGTGTCGTTTTTATTAGACCTGTTTCAAGACCAATTTCTTCAGCTGTGTCTAGTGATGGAAAATTCTCGAGAATAAAAAAATGGAGAATATTACCGAGAATATTTGTCGATTATGAGAATTTTCTGAGAACGATTTACCAAAACCAAAGAGGTTAGAAAGGGTAGAGGTAACATAGGAAGCATTTGTCGCTGCGCGAATTTTGCCAAAACCGAAAAACTGGGTCGAAGGAGTAGGGAGATGTTCTGGGCCGGACTTAAATATTTGTATTGTAGTATCTTATTTTGGTAGTTAACTAAAAGATGAAAAATTATGAGACGTTTTTTTGACTTTATTTGTTAGCACGATTCACTTATGATGAGGGCAATAACACTTTATCAATATATAGGGCGGATTCCACCGTTGTGTCAAACGAAGTTTAAATTACTAAACGAAGATTAAAATGACATTGCTAATGTAAAAATGTCATTTTAATCTACATTTAGTAATTTAAACTTCGTTTCTTTTAATATAAAAATGTCATTTTAATCTTTGTTTAGTATTTTAAACTTCGTTTAAAAAAAGGATGAAATCGACCCTAAGTAAAATTTATAAAATTATTGTAACAAAATAGCTGTTGAGCCAAACAGTTATCGAAACAGCCAAAGTACTTTTTGCTCGAATTACACACAAGATTTTTTCTACGATTACACCAAAATAAAATAAATAATTAAATTTTATTAGAAATGGGTTACCTTTTCGTTCCTTATAATATTTTAAGTTTATTTGACATAAGCCTACTCTTCGAAGAGAAAAAATGTTTTGGTATTTATGTGCTGTTAATTATTTACGGAAAATACCGTTCAATGATTTAAAATATTAGGAAGTCAATTAATAGCTATTTATGTAACCAGTTACGAAATGCCTTATTTTGTGTAACGAGTAAATATTTGCGGGACGAGCGGAGTGAGGTCTCGCAAAATGAACGAGTTACACAAAATAGCATTTCGTAACTTGTTTTCATACAAGATTTTTTCTAATTTTGACTTGATTATTTATAAAATTGTGTTGAAAAATGATTCACCATCATTCTTTTGTAGGTACTTCCAATCAAATATTTTAGAAAATTGTTGTATTTCATTGCCCTACGACGTTATTTTTTTTTTTTCAATAGTAATAATAAAAATAAGGGACATGTGCAGTGTTACCGATCTGATTTTTGACATTACCCGCCAGAAATTTAAAAAAAAAACGTTTTTACCCATTATCAAAATTTTACCCATTATCAAAATTTTACCCCCAACATTTCTGGGCAGTTTTCATAACGGTGTTCAATTATTTAAAAAATAAAACGCAATTTACAGCTTTTTTTTTGTTTTCTTTTTTGTAGTTAAACGTAATGTCATATTTTCAAATGTGAAATGTCACTATTCATTGCCTTTTTTTCGATATTTGGTTTTTTCGATTTTTCGTTTTTTGGATTTTTCAATTTTTATTTTTCGATTACTCGATTTCTTGATTTTTCGACTTAAAAACCAAAAAAGGGAGATTTATTTATTTTCATTTCGTAACTGGTGACATAATCAACTTTTTGTAATCAGTTGCATAATGTTCTACTTTATGCAACTGTTTGCATAAAGTAGATCGTTTTGACACTTGCTGTGATTATAAATTATATTACTTTATATGTCAATGAAATTGATATTTTTGTATTTGATTGTATGTTAACTTCCTGAAAAAAGATTCCCCATAAAACAAGAAATAGTAAACATTTATAATAATAACCTTTATTTGCTTGTTATAACATGTACCAATGACCAAGTCCGATTCTGTTTATTTTCAATTCAACAAATATGGACGTCGACAGAATCTTTAAAAATTAAATATCTCACCGAAATAAATGTAAGTTTCTTTTATCTCCGTTACATTTCGCATTTTTATTATAAATAAAGCTTTTTATAATACATCTTGGCATTATCAACGTTAATTTTCAAAATTTAAGTCACTAAAATACCAAATTAATTCTCGTTGACACATTAAATTTGGATGGACAACGCTCTGACATGTGATGTTCTCAACTGTGATTGGTGGGTGTGAATAATTTAGAAATGGGATTATGCGCAGTGTCTTATGTTCCATCTAAGGTTTGTATAATCTAAGACCAAAACCAACTCAAATTTAATGACGGTGACATCTAAACTCGAACGGCATATTGAATACATCTTCTAACAACTCTCACCAGCAACGATTTAAGTTAAAAACGACAGTGTTTACCAGTGAGCGCTCTTAGTTGTAAACGATTCCTGACGAAAATCACTTTTGAAACTCATGGGTTTAAATAAACTTTAAAGATTTATTTAATGAAGCATAAACAATAACAAAATAAAACCATTTATGTTCCGTTTTCGACGACAAATAAAAAGCATAAAAAATGTAAAATAAAATCTTACACCTATACTAACAAAACAAAATTAAGTTCAAAAAATAAATCAATTTGAGTCAAAAAAATTGTCCACATCATCATCATCACTATTTTCATTCTCTGACGAGTCCGACTCCGACCCATCACTCCCGTCAGACTTCAATATCATTTCCACTGCCTCTGTTTCTCCAAGACCACCCTGTGACTGGTAGTGCGAAGTAGACGGGTTCTCTTCATGTTCTTTATACTTGGACATCGCTGATACCTGGTCCTGGTCCAATAGTTTCAAATTATGAGCTATAAAAGTAACTTTACCGACTCGCTCAGCAGTCAGTCGGTTTCTTTTTGAGGAGTGAATGAAACCATATGTGCTAAATTTTGAACCGCTAATTTACTTAGTTTTGTCCCAAAACAGGTTCCTTTCCACCAAATCTTGGGTTCTAGTGTATGGTTTTGCAAAAAATCCTTCTTTAGATCTATAGTACGCCAATTCCGCCATTAAATTTGCCGAGTCATCTGGGTATTTTGAAGTAGCTAAATAATCAATAAACTCTATACCCTGAATTTGCTCCTCGTTGCTCAAAAGAACACTATTTAACCGCGGGTCTAAGATATTAGCTGCCAAATGCATAGGGTGTATGGCAGTATGCTTTCTTTTTGCTTAAAATTCCTGGACATTTGGCTCTTCCTGCTTCGTAAGGGGACTTGAAAGTAACGCCGTTTCAAAATGTTTTTCTAGGGTATAAAAACAATCTATTACTTCACTTAGCTTAGGCTTATCTGACTCTAGTTTGGTTATATATTCACTTAGATAAAAGAGACCAGAGATATAACATACACCGGTTTTAAACCTGCGCAAATGTTGCCAATTTCTAAAGAAGGGTTAACGGAGTGGGGGAACTGGGCGGCGACACGCAGCGACTCGAACTCTGTGACAGGGACCGGACTTTGTTTATTAGCAACTTAATGAACTATTAGGTTTATTTAAAAGGTGTTTAATCGAATTTTGTATTATGAAATCAAATTATCGTGATTTTTTAATATCAAACAGATGCCACGACATTTTATGTAAAGAGAAGACCTTTTATAGAATATTTCGTTAGCGTTTATTTACTACGGACTTTTCTGCAAGAGATTACAGTAAAATGTTGAAATAGAATATATTGTTAATAGAGCAAAAAATGTTACTCATTGTCTACGAGTATTATAAAAATAGCATGTGCGCAGGCTAATACTGCAAATCTACCCTTATGAGTTGAACATTATATTTTTTCTACGGCTATTACATATTATTAAAAATTAGTCAAAATGAGAAAATGCTGTTTTGTATTGTAACCTCAGAAAAAGTATATTAAGGCTTCTTTCTTTAAGAATATTATTTATTATAAAGGATGAGTCACATAAAACTCTAGAAATGCATATGTCTGAAACCAGATAACATTTTAAAATTTAAATCTATTAAAAGTCATTTGGTCGCTAGGGATGAGTGATTATCGAAATAAATTATCGATAATTGAAAATAATCGATTATTTTCGATCAATAGATTATTTTCAAACAATATATTTTTTGTAATTTTCTTTAAAATCGACTACTTGATTATCTTTGAAAAATCAAAAATAATCGATTAATTAAAAAGCCAATTAACCGATAAATCAGTGTTGACAAAATATAATATAAATAGAATTATCGTTTATTTTAAATAATCGATTATTTTCAAATAAACCATTTTTTTTTCGTCCATGGAAACAGATTATTCGATAATCTTTGAAAAATCGAAAATAATCGATTAATCAAAAATAATCAATTAATTAAAAAGTCGATTAACTGATAAATCGATTTAAAAAAAAAAACAGAATGATCGATTATTTTAAATAATTGATTATTTTCGATCAATCGATTATTATCAATAATCTATTTTTATTGTATTTCCTTTAAAATCGTTAATTGGATTATCTTTGAAATAGCGAAAATAATCGATAATTCCAAAATAATCGCCTAATCGAAAATAATCAATTAATTAAGAAGCCGATTCTATGATAAATCGATTTTCCAAAAAATAAAACGAATTATCTATTATTTTCTAATAATCTTTTTTTCATATTTCCTTTGAAATTGATTATTCGATTATCGAAAATAATTGATTATTAAAAAGCTGATTATCCAATAAATCGATAATTTTAAAAAAATAACCAAAATATCGATTATGTAAAATAACCGATTATATTCAATCGATTATTTTCATATAATATCTTTGAAAAATCGAAAATAATCAAATAATTAAAAAACCGATTAAACGATAAATCGATAATTTTGAATAAATGTACTTTTTCTGTATTTCCTTTAAAATCGATTAATACATTATCTTAAAAAAAAACGAAAATAATTTATTAAAAACAGCGGATAAATCGATTTTCATTAAAAAATATCAGAATTATCGATAAATCGATTATTTTTGTAACCCCTATCGGTCGCTTGCTTTTATCTGAGCATTTAGCTCCAAAATTTAGATATTCGGATTTTTTGATCCAGTTATCTTTGAAATCGCATTCGCTTGTATAATAAATAAATATTGCTAAATTTTGGATTTTTTTAGTAAACGAAAATTATGTTCGAGTTGTTTAGGGGTTTGTAATGTAACATTTTATTAACGTGACTAAGGGTTGATTCCACCGTTGTGTTAAACGAAGTTTAAAATGACATTTTTACATTAACACTGTCATTTTAATCTCCGTTTAACACAACGGTGGAATCGGACCTAACTCCTGTAACTTTAGTATTTTTTTTTTTGTTTATACTAGATTACTTTGTTTTAAGACTGAAAATTCAATGTCACTTTCGATTTGACCGCAAATAAGATGAACCTTGAAATTTTAAGTAGGTCATCCTGTATTTCATCTAATATTCTTATAAAAATACCTTATAAAAATAAAATTTAGCTAGCAACTATGATTCTTTACCTCTTATTTATCTACCAAAAAGGGCTAAAAACTACCTTTAGAAAACATTCTTATAAAACTACTTTTTAAATACAAAATTTCGTTAGCAATAATGCCTATTTACTATTTATTTAAATTAAATGTTCAAAATTTTACCCTTTTGTAAATTTATGTAAGTAATATGAAATCTGATGCTTAATATTTATTGGAACCCCTTAATGCGGATCTGAAGTATTCAGCCCAGAGAATCATGGCGCTTTATGTCAAAACGTTAATAAATATTTACCGCTGAAAACGAATATATTCATAACAGTAGTACTTGTATTATAAGTACATACAATTTTTCAAGATACATCGTGACATTTTGAACTTGAAATTGAATAACTAGAACACTTTAAATTGCTAAAATACCAACAAATAAATCAAAAAACAGCTGTCAATGGTGATTAAACTCAGGTGGAGGTGTGATCGCTGAATGGAAATCGGAGCAATTCGGGTGGCGTCGTGCAACAATGATTTTCAATTGGTGGGTTACTTTGGCTTAAAATAGACTGCATGCGCAGTGTGCAATGTTACATCTTCGGTCTCTTTAATCTAAGTATATTCAACAATGGGGTTAATCAAATTGAACAACTTCAACACTCGTATCCAGAATATATCTTCATCTAAAGTTAATATTCCTACTCGCATGCTCAATATATTATCTACAGTCTCACAAACTGCCAGTGGCGGCTCCAGATTTTTAACAAATGTGAAAACCCCGCCGGAGGCGCCCTGTCGGAGGCCCCCCACCAGAGGCGAAAAATTTTTTTGGGGTGCCACGCCCAAATTTTTAACCAAAAGTCGTTTAAAAAACTGGCTTTGGGCAAAAATTTATCACTGTAATAAATGAAGCACGGATACTTTTATATCTATTATATGACTACTATTTATGAGGTTCCTAACACAAGTTTTGTAACGAAACAGGCCGTCAGGGTTAGTCTTATCCTAAACTTTGCCAATAAATTACTCAAAACTTATCGAAGAACTCTGTAAAATTAATTATAAATTAACTTACCCCCAGTAATTAATGCTGAAAGTCCTTGCAGTTTGTTATTATCAAAAAAATCACAAAAATAAAACTATACCTATTTACAGTATTTACACACGCGCACAAAATTGCTTGATACACTAGTTTTAAAGTTTCCAATAAACGAAGTCCATTCTTCTTTCTTTTTTGGTTGCAAAGTTTTCAATTACTTTATTATTAAAATTTTCAATTCCATTTACAAAATGTTTTTCTGCGGACAACATACCTAAAGCACTAAGTCTTTCTTCCTTCATTGTATTTCTGAGGAATGTTTTAATCCGTTTAAGCATTGAAAAACAGCTCTCTGCCTCAAACGTTGACATAGGTATTGTTATCAATATACCTAAAAGTTTAAGAGTTTCCTGAAATGTACAATTTAAATCTTCCTCATTTAATAAAATTGACAGCGGGACAGCTCCGGAGGTGGTACTTAATTCGTCTCTCTGATACAGTACTTGTAATTCATTTTTAAGCATATTTTTGTCTAAAAATGAAAATCGTATACATGTTTCATTGAGGAATGATTCGAGAAACTGATGCCTATAGACAAAAAATTTCTCCGACATAAATTAGAAGCGACCAAATGCCCAGAGAAGTTGAACCTTTTTTTTATTTGCAATAAAACGCATCGCATATTTCTAAGGCTTCGCGTTTTCTCCTGCTCTCTTCAATTCGTGCCTTTTTTTGTTATTGTTTCACCAGTTTCTCCTTGCGACGTATTTATTTCTTCTTGAATATTGTCAATAAAGCTGTCCATTTGTTCCCGTATACCTTGAATTGATGCTTCGAAATTCTCCAAATCTTTCTTGACGTTAATAGAATCTGTACATACTTTTTGTAATTGGTTAAAAATAATTTCTACGTGAGGCATTATTTGATGAAAAATACTTAACCAAAATATAACATTTTTATCCTGAAGTTTTAATTTGTACCCACTTGCTTGATTAATAGACGACGAATCGCGTGAAGTACTTCCATAATGTTCACAACTGTAATGAGGTCTTTTCTATTCTCATAAACAGTATGAACACCTCGCAATTGAAAATTCCACCGTGTTTGGGAAGATCTTGGCAACCTGCGATTAACTACCTCATCCAAAATTTTTGTTCTTTGAGGAGACGTGGAAAAGAAAGAGCACAAACCAGATAAATTAGAAAAAAAATTCTAGCCTGCTTATTGACAGAACATGTACATAACTAAATTCATCTGGTGTGCACAGCAATGAACGTAATTTGCAAGAGGATATGTTTCTTTAATAATTTTTTGCACACCATTTAATCCACCACTCATTACAGACGCGTTGTCATAGCTTTGAGCAATTAATTTATTTGGACCATGTTTTAATAATCGATGTAAAACATTTAAAATGCATTTAGTGATTGATTTGGCGTCGTGTCCATCGAGCATGTAAAACCTCCAAAATCTCTCAACTGGTCGTTCTTTACACAAATATCTGAAAACTATAACTAATTGAAATTCACAAGCAACGTCCGTCGTTTCATCGGCAATCACTGTAACAAAAGGAGACTTTTCTATTTCTTCCCTAACTTCTCCATGATAAACATCTAACATGCACTCAAGAAGTTCATTTTGGGTTGTTTTGAGGTACCTTTTAACGCTTTTGAACTTTGAATATGAACCTTTAAGTCGTTGTCTAATTTGGCGCTAAAATTCACCAGCTCCTTAAATATGCCTCTATTTTCCGAATTATCTTTGTTATCGTGACCCCTTAAAGCTAACTCAAAAGCTCCACAAAACCTTATACAATTTATAATTTGATTCTTATCCACTTGTT